TAAGTGGCAGTTTAAACCCTTTGATTAGTTTCCCCCTCTGCCCCCTAAGTCCTGGAAACCACCACTCAACTTTCTGTTTCACTGAGTTTATCTTTTTTATATTCCACTTGTAAGTGGTATCATACAGTATTTGTCTTTCTCTGTCTGATTTATTTTACTTTGCATAATGCCTTCAAGGTTCATCCAAGTTGTTGCAAACGGCAGGATTTCCTTCCTTCTTATGGATGAATACACACACACATACACACTACATCTTTATCCATTCCTCTGGTGATGAACACTTAAGTTGTTTCCATATCTCAGCTTTTGTGATTAATGCTGTAATGAACATCTTATATCTCTATAAGATACTGATTCCTAATTTCAGTTCCTTTGGATATATATACCCAGAAGTGGGATTGCTTGATCATATGGTAGTTCTATTTTTTGTTTTGGGAGAACCTCCATACTGTTTTCCATAGTGGCTGTCATATATAGAATCATGCCCAGTAAACTTTGGGTGACATAGGGAAGATACTTGTCTGTCAGTCACACCTGGAAACAGGTCATTGGCCAGAATAGGCATGGCCACTGCAAGCACGGGAAGATTTGATATTTCAACTCCCAAAGGAGTTCCCTATCTCTTGCGTGCTAGGCCCCTGGCTCTCTTGTCGTGGGGGCATGCTGCCCTGCATTTGCCCACATGGCTCAAGGCCGTGTGGACCCCACACAATGAACTGTGACTAGCATTATGCTACACCTTCTGGCTTCATGTTTTTGATGAGAAATTATTGTTGATCTTAATGTGAATTTATGGTATCTACTGAATCATTTTCTTTTGCTGCTTTCAAGATTTTCCATCTTTGTCTTTTGAAATTTTGATTAGTTGATGAGATGTGTGTGACTTGGAGTTTTTTGAGCTTTTTGGATGTGTAGATAGTTTTTCTTTAAATCTGAGAAGTTTATGTTCATTATTTCTCCACATATTATTTTTGGTCCTTTCTCCTCTTTTTCTGGGTCTATCATCATATCTATGTTGCTGTGCTTAATGGTGTCCCATAGGTCTCTGAGATGCTGTTCATTTTTCTTTATTCTCTTTTCTTTCTGTTTTTCAAACTGGATAACCTTAATTGACATATTTTCCAGTTCATGTATTCTTTCTTCTGCCAGATTATATTTGCTCTTCAGTTTCTATAGTGAATTTTTCAATTCACTTTTGTACTTTTCAACTCTGGAATTTCTATTTTGTTCATTTTACAAATTTAAAAAAAATATATTTATTGATATTTTTTATTTGATGAAGCATTGTTGCCTTATTGCCATATTTTTCTTTGATCTTTATACAAAGTTTCTTTTAGTCCTTTGTACGTATTAGTAATAGGTGATTTAAAGTCTTTGTTTAGTATGTCCAACTTCTGGGCCTTCTAAGGGATAGTTTTTATTGACTACTTTGCCCCCCCATATATGGGTCATAATCTTGTCTCTTTGCATGTCATAATTTTTGTTGAAAACTGGACATTTTAAATAATATGTTGAATTCTATAAATCAGACTCCCCATATTTCCCTGGGTATACTCTTGTTTGCATTTGTTGTTGCTTTTTGTTTGTTTCATTACTTTCCTGAACGAAAGTTTGTATTCTTTGTTGTGTATGGCGAGCAAAGCCTCTGCTTCATGGCTCACTAATGATTGGATTTATAGTTCTTAAAAGCCTTGTACCAATAAGTATCCCAGCCTTTGCTGAGGATCCCTCTGTGCAAATTGGGGTATGCTTTCTACATCCTGGCAGACAGTTTACAACTCTTAGTCTTCACTTTCAAACTGAGTAAAATCTCAGGGTCAGCCTGAGGTGAGAGATCAAGGCTTCCTTAAGTAATTGAGAGTCATGTGCACAGCCCTGCACATGTGTATGACTTTCTAAATTGCCAAGAATATATTATAACTTGTCAAAATCACCACCCTCCTACACACACAGACATGATTTTCAAGCTTTTCCTTTTAAATGTTTTGGTCTCTTTATTGTTGGCCCCAGTTTGATCCCTACCCTCAGGTATCTTTGATGTTAAATAATTACTACTGATTGTTTTTGACAAACGTCTTGAGAGGAAAAGCTGTTTGTCAATAAGCTCTGAATCAGGCCAAATCAAGAGAAAGCCCTGTAAATGGTGGTTTCCCTGGTACTGTGAACAATGACAGTTCCCTGAGGACAGGCTTTTTGGGTGTCTCTAGATCTGTTCTCCCCAGTGGCTGTGGGCTGCTGCTTTCATGGCTACCATGATTTTAAGGGTTTGGGTTCTCAAGGCTACAGAAGACCTGGTTAGAAAGGATTGGGAATAGAATATGTTAAAACACCACAATATTACAATTTTTATCAGAATTCAAATATTTCTCTTGAATAAATGTGCCTCAGATTTTTGTAAGCATCTAGTTAATTTCTAGAGCTCTAAAAAGTTGTTTTTGACAGACTTTGGTGGTGTTACCATTGCTTTCATAGAGGGTCTGCTTTTTGGAAGTATTTATTGCACCATTCTGAAAGTACTTTATGTGGGTCTTTATCTTTAAAGTAGGTTGTTTTTTTAAGGATGGCATATTATATCTTGCTTTTTTATCCAATCTGGCAATTTCTGCCTTTTAATTAGAATCCTTAGAATATTTACATTTATGAAATTACCCATAGAGTTGGTTTAAGTCAACCCCTTTGCTATTTATTTCCTGTTTGTTCTGCCTGATTTACTTTGTACCCCTACCCCTTTTCCTGCTTTCTTTTTGGAAGGATTCTGGCTATTCCTTTAAAGGATGGCAGAATTTGTAGAATTATGGATGAGAAAAAAAAAAGTCATGCCTTCTTGCATATATTACAAATTGGTAAGAGACACAATATTTTTCAGTGAGGGCAATTAGAGCAGCAATGTCCAATAGAAATACAATTATGTGTCACAGGTTTATGTAATTTTAAAATTTCCACTAGCTATATGAAAAATAGAAGTAGACCCCAATTGGCGTAGCTCAGTGGATGGAGCATCGTCCCATGGACTGAGAGGTCCCCGTTCAATTCCCGGTCAGGGCAAATGCCTGAGTTGCAGGCTTGATCCCTAGTTGGGGGGTAGGGGTACAGAAGGCAGCCAATCGATGTTTCTCTCTCACATTGACGTTTCTATCTCTCTCTCCCTTCTTCTCTCTAAAAAGTCAATAAAAACATATTTAAAACCAAATACATAAAAGTAGATAAATTAACTTTAACAATTTTATTTAAATTAAAATATTAAAAATAGTCCTTTAAAATAAAATATAATTAATATACAAGTTATTAATGAATAGTTACATTTTTTGTAATAAGTCTTAACGATCTTCAAAATCTTTTGTTTTTCAAGAATAAAACTCATTTCAATTTGAACTAACCACATCTATAGGCATAAGTGGCTAGCAGCTACCACTTTGGAGAACACACATTTGAGGGACTGATTCTAAGACAGTTTTGGTTTTAATGAGGCAGAGAAGCTAATGGACAGGATGGGATTTGCTGAGCACCTTGATTTTAGTAATCAATAGGGAACATATTAGGACAAAGTGGAAAATAGAATATGAGGTCGATAAGAGTAAAAAATATCTGGCGTAGAAAATACTCTTAACTGCTGTGTACAAAGGGACATGAAGTCTTAGACATTTATTAAATGCAAAAGTCTGTATTAATATTGCAGATAATGATTTTCAGTCTAACAGTGGTAGCTGGTACTGAATGAATGCTCTGTGAGGTGCTGTTCTAAGCACTTTGAATGGATTGTGTTGCCTCATTTACGTGTGATTTTAAGTAAATCACCTATTCTTCCTTGGGACTCTGTTGTTTTTATCTATAAAATACCAAAAAACATACTAGATAATCTCTGAGCTCCTTCTTAATACTGAAAGTTGGTGTTTTTAGATACATTGATGAGGAAAATAAATAGTCTGTCCTCAGGGAATGTATAGTCAAATAAAAGAGGTGAGATGCACCCACTTAATTAAAATGCATGTTGACAATCATTAGGACCTTAAGAAAACAATAAAATGCCATGAGAATCTAAAACATATTTATTTGCATATAGTAAATTCATAGTAAATATCTGAATTAGATCGAATTGAATCATGATAGCTGGTGAATCAAGAGAAGTTTGTTTTTTTTTGTAGGAAATGACAGTTGGTGTCAGCCTTGGCAGGTGGTGGGAGTAAATGAGGAGGAGATGGAATGGAGTAGTAGGAGTAGTGACCCAGATAATGGAAGAATACGAGGCAAAAAGCAATGTGTGTGTTCAGAGAACAAAACAAAAATATACTTCGATCCTATTATTTGGGGGTGTTGGATAATAGTACTATGTGGGTAGGTTAGATTCAAATCTTAGAGAGCCTTTAAGATCCTGTTAAGGGCATGCCTGATTACTGACAATGAAATATGGTAGGGACCGCAGAGACTGTACTATCAATTTTTTAGAAACCTCACATTTTATGCCTGTACTTTCTATCAACCACAAGGATAATAAAGTGCAATTTTATATTTAAAAATATTTTATTTGGTTAGAAACTTACAATTTACTTCCTTTAAAACTTTGTCATATTGTTTTTGATGAGTGTGTGTATAAGCTGCTATTTAGGGTAATACAGGCCAAATCTGTATTTTCTGTCTTCTAGTATAGTCTTTATTTTTGCTGATTCTTAATCCTTTGTGATTAAATGATGCTGAATAAATTTATGCTATCAGTCAGCGTAGAGAGGGCACCTAAGTCTGACTCTTTAAAACTATTATCTGTTCCAAGAACTTCAAAGGTGGCACAGATAACCAGATGGAAAAACCATGGATTTCTCAGAGGAATGGAAATTATAAAGGCATTTTCTTTAACTGTGTAAATGCTAAAATCTCTCTCTTTTTATCTGTGCGTATTTAATAGCTTAGCAGACTGGTATTTTAAAGTAATGTTTTATAAGTAATTTTAGCAAGATAGATCAGGAAATTCATAAAGCATTGACATCCATCTACTTCACTTCTTTCAGGTAACTTGTCCAGGAGTGCTGCTGAAAGACAAGGAGGACATCTATCTCAGCATCTGTGTGTTTGGCCAATACAAAAAGACACAGTGTGTCCCAGCCACTTTTCCATTGGTCTTCAATGCCAGAATGGTGTTTGAAAAGGTGAGTTCCAATCTCAGATCAAAATTAATAAACAAAAATGAAAGTGGTTCCAGATTTTGAATAAAATCCCAGAACCCAGATTATTATTGCTGACTATGTACTTCGATTGAATTCAAAGGAAGATTTATCACATAAATTTGGAGGCTTGAAAATAGATATGCATTATGTACATTGAATCAATTGCCTCTTTTTTCATGATGGATCAGTTTATTTCTAAAATTGTCATAATAGACTTTGTGTAAAATATAACATTCTAAATAATTACTTTAATAAAAAAGAGATATTAATAGGTAAGAATAGGTTATATTTTACTTATGGCTGTCTTGTGGTATTTCTTTCTATAAGTCTCTGTTCTTTTTCCCCTAAAACTGCTGCTGTTGGATATGTCTCACTTTTAAAATTTACTTTTTTCTCTATTTCCTTCCCTCCCTCCCTCCCTCCCTCCCTCCCTCCCTTCCTTCCTTCCTTCCTTCCTTCTTCTTTTTCTCCACAAATAATTGTCTAGTACCTGATCTGTTACATGCACTTTTTAATTTGTTGGGTAGACAAACATATTCCCCCTCCTGGAACTTTCATTTTAATAGGAGAAACAGACAATAATTAAGTAAACACATGAATAATATAATTTTAGATAGTGATAAGTATCATAAAAAGAATAAAGGGAGGGTAAGAGACAGAGAGGGACTGAGGGATTAGGATGATTATCTATTTTCAAGGGTGGTCAGAGAAGGCAGTTACGTTAAGCTGAGCCTGAGTTGTGGGACAGCATCAGTTATTCGAAGGTCTAGGGGAAATAAGCTCCAAGAGTTGAAGAAACACCGAGAAGGCCCGTGTGCTCACGGTAACAACCCAAAGGGAAGAATGGCAGCAGATGAAGTTGGAGAGGGCGGCAGAGCCAGCTTTAATGTTTGTAAAATCTTCCATAATGATCATGGGAAGCAGAGAGGAAGTGATAATTCTCAGTAATGTCGAATGTTTCTTTGATTAGGAAGGGAATATTTGGGGCACGGGAAGGAGAAAACAAAGGCCGTGTTATAGATATGTTCCCTTCATTTCCTCTTCTTCAGCCTGCTTCCCTCTCCATTCTCCACTCTAGGTGTTCCCTGAAGCAGTCGACCCTGGAGATGTGGTTGCACAGCTTGAATGTAAGTTATTAACTTTTACTTCCTGGTTCTAAGACATTTTAGAATTATGCTCTTTAATCCTGAATTAGATAAAAGTTAAAAAGAGTTCAGTACGAATTTTAAAAATCTTGAGCCCTTATTTTTGGAATTTAGAATACACCTGGAAATAATAATACTGAAAAATATGTACATTGCAGAGAAGCTGCAAATTTTTTCTTTTTATGTGGTTGGTCTGTGGAAAACAAAAAGACTTATTGGAACTTTTTATTGAGTAAGATACTGTAGATTGTTTATAATGCAAGAACAAAGATTCATATTAGGTAGGACTTTGCCCTGCAGACAAAAATATATCTACTCTCAGTGTATTGCAATTAAGAGAGTGAATAATAGAAGGTTGATGTAATAGTTTAAAATACATGTGTTTAAATTTTGAATTATATTTAAAGTTAAATTATTTGAAAGATATTTTCAAGGCTATGGATAACAGTAAATTCTTCAAAGCATTAGGAGTCAACTATAAAAAGGTACAACTATTTGTGAGAGCAGCAATGCAAAGATATACACTTGAGAATAAGTTATTTGAGTTCTGGATATCAAATTAAAAGCTCTGTTGTTTATCCTTGTAATTAGAAAGGAATCAGGGCTCATCAGCTTTGTCTAATATGTAATTCCGATAAAAAGATCAACAGTATTGGGCATCACAGCATCAGTTGTCTCCTCCACACACCCCCCCCCCCCCCCCACTGGGACTCCAGCAATGTGCAAGCATGGAATCTGGTGTAGAGGGAGGAATCGTCTTACATCCAGGGAATTTATAGTTTAGTGACTCTTCTCCAGAGAATTCTTTATGGCCTGTGACAGTATCTTATTTTTTTTTTTTTTTTTTTTTTTTTTTTTTTTTTTAATCCTCACCCGAGGATATTTTTCCATTTTTTGTACAGATAGAGTGGGAGGGAGAGAGAGGAAGGGAGAGACAGACAGAAACATCGACGTGAAGGGACACATCGAGTGGCTGCCACCCGCACGACCAACCAGGGCCGGGGACAAACTGCAACCGAAGTACGTGCCCTTAGCGGGAACCGAACCCGGGTCTCTCCGGACCGCAGGCCGACGCTCTAACCGCTGAGCCAAACTGGCCAGGGCCAGTATCTTATTTTTTATAGCTGTTCTATCACTTGGTATTCTATCTTTCACTGTGGCAGACTAGCTAGGTGTATGCCTTTTAATATGTCCTCAACATTTTCTCAGTATCTGGGAAACTGTCTCTTAGAAAGTGAAGATAATTATTTCATCATTCTTAATTTTTTCTGTTATAGAAATACATATCTATTGCCCTGGCCAGTGTGGCTCAGGTGGCTGAGTGTCATTCCATGCACCAAGAGGTCACCAGTTCAATTCCCAGTCAGGGCACATGTCCAGGTTTCAGGCTCCATCCCCACTGGGGGAGGTGCAGGAGGCAGCTGATCAGTGGTTCTCTCTCATTGATGTTTCTTTCTCTCCTTCTTCCTCTCTAAAATCAATAAAAAATACATATCTATCAACAGTTGAATCTAAAAACCAAAATGAACAAACAAGCAGAACAGAAACAGACTCACAGATAGAGAAAACATTTTGACAGTTGCCAGATGGGAGAGGGGTTGGGTGAAAAAGGTGACGGGATTAAGAAGTACAGATTGGCAGTTACAGAACAGTCATGGGATGTAAAGCATGGCATAGGGAGTAGAGTCAGTATTGTAATAACTATGCATGGTGTCAGATGGGTATGAGATTTATTGAGAAGATCGCTTTGTAAGTTATATAATGTCTAATTACTGGGTTGTACACATATAACTAATACAATATTGTATGTCAACTGTAAATGAAAAATAAAAAATTGTTTAAAGTATAAAAAAAAACCTGGAAAACAAAACACATTTTTTTTCTGTTTGATTTGAAATTTGGGGGCTATAAAAAGAGTACTTAATGGTGATCATTATATCCCTGATTTAGTTTTTCCCTTAGGTCTTTTCACTTCATCACGGACATTTCACTTTTTGGTATCATTCTGAAATTCATCTTTCTCTGCCCTGGTTTTAAATATTGGCATTCCACTGGCCTCACTTCTTTGATCTCTTTTTTCCTTAGTTTCTACTCTTTCCTTATATACTCTCTAAAGACTTGGCTTTATAGATAACCTGTATTCTGGTGACTTCCACGTCAGTCTTTATCCCTGACCTCTCTTGTGAGCTTCGGGCCCCTCTTTATGTATGTGGTGTTTTTTTTTCCTCTCTCAGTTTTGAAGTCTTTCATTGTTCCTTAACCTTATTAATATTTGTATCTTTCTGGAAATGCGTCCATGTCATCTAAGATGTGTACTTTGTTTGCTTAAAGTTGTTCATACTTTTCCTTTATGGTCCTTTTGATTTTTGTAGATTCAGTAGAGACATCCCTTCCTTTATTCCTGACTTTGGTAATTTTTTTTTTCTTTTTTCTTTTCTTGGATTGTTGGACTAAAGGTTTATTAATTTTGTTGATATGTTTTGAGAATCAATTTTTTATTTCATTTATTTTTTTTCTATTTCATTGATTTTCGTTTTGATCTGTTTTCTTCTATTCTTTTTTTTTTTTTAGCTTCTTGAGATGATTGATTTCAGATATTTTTGCTTTCCTAATATAAATATTTAAAGCTGTAAATTTCTCTCTCCATACTGTTTTGCTATATTCTTAAATTTTGATATTAGTTTTTATGTTAATTAATTTAAAGATATTGCCTAATTCTTTGTGTGTGGTTTCTTCTGTGATCTTTGGATTCTTTTGAAACATATTATTTTATTTAAAAATATTATGAAACTTTCTATATTTCTTTATGATGTTGATTTCTCATTTAATTCTATTTTGGTTAAAGAACATGATTTGTAAATTTGTAAGTTTTATCTTTATTGAGACTTATTTATGGCCTGTCCTAAGGTCTGTGCATGAGAATAAATCAGGTACACTTGAAAAGAATGAATATCTTGCTGTTTTTGGTTGAATTATTCTATATCAATCTATTTCTATCACCTGGTCAAGTTAGTTGATAATGTTCAAGTCTTCTATATTCTTATTATCTTTTCTTGGGGTCTAGAGGAGGTCTGGTTGTTTTATCAGTTACCGAGAGAAAGGCATTTGACTGTTCAACTATAATTGTTGACTTTTCTGTTTCTCTTTTCATTTATATCAATTTTTGCTTCATATAATGTGTTGGTTATTGATTTATTACACCACAGTTCCAATTCAGTCTTTCTATCTGATTTGTGGAAATTGATCTGGGCCTTCTTTTTTCTTTATTGGTTTTTGAGAGAGTGGGAGAGAGAAACATTGATGAGAGAGAACATCGACTGGCCGCCTCCTGCACGCCCCCCACTGGGGACCTGCCCACAACCTGGGCACGTGCCCTGACCAGGAACCGAACCAGCGACCTCCTGGTGCATGGGTTGATGCTCAACCACTGAGCCACACTGGCTGGGCTGATCTGGGCCTTTTAATTATTTCTTTCATTCCAGAGGTCACTGAAGCTTTCGTTCCAGCTGGTCTCAGAGTGCCTTTAACATTGTAGAGGGGAAGAGCTTTGCTTCCAGATGTGGGTGTGCCTGCTTGGCAGGCTCCTGCCTTGTGCCTGTTTTGTTTTGTTTGTCTAGTACCAGACCTTTGTAGCTTTTGCAGCCTCTCTGATGCCCAGATATTTCCATACCTGGTGGTCAATAATAGCTTCCCTTAACTGTCCCCCCCTGGGTAGTTTTGTAGTGAAGTGCCCCTGGTGAAGGGCCTCCCTGGCACCCTAGAGGGATGATTTGTGGCAAGTTCCAGAAGGCAGGTGTCAGTAAGTGCTGCTGGCATGGCACTAGAGCAGCGTTCCTCTCTCAGTGAGCCCAGCTGCACTCTCTTTAACGCGCCCTGGGTCTCAGCACCGGGGAGGACACCTCTGGGACAGCTCCTCCTCCAGGGCTCTGGCTGAGCCTAGGACTGATGGCTGCTCCTTCTGTCTGCTAGTCCTGTATTCTTTAAGTTCCCCTTATATCTTCCTAGACTATCCCTCATTACTGTACACCCCTCCTGTAGTTAATAGTGCTTTATAGTAAACTTTCCCTGTGTGGTTTTTCTCTCCTAATTGGACCCAGACTGATATATTTATTTTGAGGCTCTGTTTTAATTGCTCGTACATTTATAATTATTACATCTTCCTCAATCTTAACCTCATTTATAGTAGTAAAAATTCATGGTAGTGAAATTACAGCAGTTTCAGGCCTCACATCTACCTATCATATACTAAAAGTAAGAGGTCTGTGTTCCATAACTTTCATCAGGCCTTCAGATTTATTCTAATCGCAGTGGGATGGGGATGTAGTATGCCGCTGGCTTAGCTTGCACTTGTCTCCCTTTGTTTCAGGTGCTGTCACCTTTGTTAGAACCATGTAGGTCTCTAATGGAAGAGGAAAAAAGAGGGATTAAATGCTGTGGAGATAGCTCATAGATGTTCCTTCCTACAGTGAAGCCTGCATAATACTGAGCCTTCAAACATAGAGTGATGGTAGAAATGGTAGAAGCAGCCCCTTTAAATAAAGTATAAAATCGAGACCAAAGAAGGAAAGCAGGCTTTTTCGAGGGTGGGGAACCTTTTTTTCTGCCAAGGATGATTTGGATATTTATAACATTATTTGCGGCCCATACAAAATTAACAGCTTAAAAATTAGCCTGCTATATTTGGTCAGGCTAATTTGGTGAGGCTGTGATGTTAGCTGACATTGATTTAGTGGGCCTTTTATGGCCCACGGGCCAGATGTTCCCTACCCCTGCTTTATGTCAACGAGAGCAAAGGGAAGTATTTCAAGTAGGGAGACACTGAATCAATGTGGATTCTTCTAGAATTTCCACTTACCTATTCTCTACAGGAATTGTGAGTCATATATATCATTTCTCATTGTGTAATGTACAAAACTAATGTGTGCTTGTCTGTCTGTCTGTGTGTCTGTCTCAAATCCAAAATGCATTAATTAAGAATATGT